ATCACCCCGCCCCATTCTCCCGCTTTCCATCACCCCGCCCCATTCTCCCGCTTTCCATCACCCCGCCCCATTCTCCCGCTTTCCATCACCCCGCCCCATTCTCCCGCTTTCCATCACCCCGCCCCATACTCCCGCTTTCCATCACCCCGCCCCATTCTCCCGCTTTCCATCACCCGCCCCATTCTTCCGCTTTCCATCACCCCGCCCCATTCTCCCGCTTTCCATCACCCCGCCCCATTCTCCGCTTTCCATCACCCGCCCATTCTCACGCTTTCCATCACCCCGCCCCATTCTCCCGCTTTCCATCACCCCGCCCCATTCTCCCGCTTTCCATCACCCCGCCCCATTCTCACGCTTTCCATCACCCCGCCCCATTCTCCCGCTTTCCATCACCCCGCCCCATTCTCCCGCTTTCCATCACCCCGCCCCATTCTCCCGCTTTCCATCACCCCGCCCCATTCTCGCGCTTCCCATCACCCCGCCCCATTCTCCCGCTTTCCATCATCCCGCCCCATTCTCCCGCTTTCCATCACCCCGCCCCATTCTCCCGCTTTCCATCACCCGCCCCATTCTCCCGCTTTCCATCACCCCGCCCCATTCTCCCGCTTTCCATCACCCCGCCCCATTCTCCTGCTTTCCATCACCCGCCCCATTCTCCCGCTTTCCATCACCCCGCCCCATACTCCCGCTTTCCATCACCCCGCCCCATTCTCCCGCTTTCCATCACCGCCCATTCTTCGCTTTCCATCACCCCGCCCCATTCTCCCGCTTTCCATCACCCCGCCCCATTCTCCCGCTTTCCATCACCCCGCCCCATTCTCCCGCTTTCTATCACCCCGCCCCATTCTCCCGCTTTCCATCACCCCGCCCCATTCTCCCGCTTTCCATCACCCCGCCCCATACTCCCGCTTTCCATCACCCCGCCCCATTCTCCCGCTTTCCATCACCCCGCCCCATTCTCCCGCTTTCCATCACCCCGCCCCATTCTCCCGCTTTCCATCACCCCGCCCCGTTCTCCCGCTTTCCATCACCCCGCCCCTTTCTCCCGCTTTCCATCACCCCGCCCCATTCTCCCGCTTTCCATCACCCCGCCCCATTCTCCCGCTTTCCGTCACCCCGCCCCATTCTCCCGCTTTCCATCACCCCGCCCCATTCTCCCGCTTTCCATCACCCCGCCACATTCTCCCGCTTTCCATCACCCCGCCCCATTCTCCCGTTTTCCATCACCCCGCCCCATTCTCCCGCTTTCCATCACCCCGCCCCATTCTCCCGCTTTCCATCACCCCGCCCCATTCTCCCTCTTTCCATCACCCCGCCCCATTCTCCCGCTTTCCATCACCCCGCCCCAATCTCACGATTTCCATCACCCCGCCCATTCTCCCGCTTTCCATCACCCCGCCCCATTCTCCCGCTTTCCATCACCCCGCCCCATTCTCCCGCTTTCCATCACCCCGCCCCATTTTCCCGCTTTCCATCACCCCGCCCCATTCTCCCGCTTTTCATCACCCCGCCCCATTCTCCCGCTTTCCGTCACCCCGCCCCATTCTCCCGCTTTCCGTCACCCCGCCCCATTCTCCCGCTTTCCGTCACCCCGCCCCATTCTCCCGCTTTCCGTCACCCCGCCCCATTCTCCCGCTTTCCATCACCCCGCCCCATTCTCCCTCTTTCCATCACCCCGCCCCGTTCTCCCGCTTTCCATCACCCCGCCCCATTCTCCCGCTTTCCATCACCCCGCCCCGTTCTCCCGCTTTCCATCACCCCGCCCCGTTCTCCCGCTTTCCATCACCCCGCCCCATTCTCCCGCTTTCCATCACCCCGCCCCATTCTCCCGCTTTCCATCACCCTGCCCCATTCTCCCTCTTTCCATCACCCCGCCCCATTCTCCCGCTTTCCATCTCCCCGCCCCATTCTCCCGCTTTCCATCACCCCGCCCCATTCTCCCGCTTTCCATCACCCCGTCCCATTCTCCCGCTTTCCATCACCCCGCCCCATTCTCCCGCTTTCCATCACCCCTCCCCATTCTCCCGCTTTCCATCACCCCGCCCCATTCTCCCGCTTTCCATCACCCCGCCCCATTCTCCCGCATCACCCCGCCCCATTCTCCCGCTTTCCATCACCCCGCCCCATTCTCCCGCTTTCCATCACCCGCCCCATTCTCCCGCTTTCCATCACCCCGCCCCATTCTCCCTCTTTCCATCACCCCGCCCCGTTCTCCCTCTTTCCATCACCCTGCCCCATTCTCCCGCTTTCCATCACCCCGCCCCATTCTCCCGCTTTCCATCACCCCGCCCCATTCTCCCGCTTTCCATCACCCGCCCCATTCTCCCGCTTTCCATCACCCCGCCCCGCTTTCCATCACCCCACCCCATTCTCCCGCTTTCCATCACCCGCCCCATTCTCCCGCTTTCCATCACCCCGCCCCATTCTCCCGCTTTCCATCACCCCGCCCCATTCTCCCGCTTTCCATCACCCGCCCCATTCTCCCGCTTTCCATCACCCGCCCCATTCTCCCGCTTTCCATCACCCCGTGTTAGAATCTAGCAGCAGGAATGAATGAACTAACAGGATGCAGGAGTACAAGTAGTAAACCCTAACTAGGTTGTACCCCATATGGGCTACCCCACTACAGCCTAGACAATATGCAGCACATATAGTTTGACACACCCCCATAGGCAAAGTGGGGGAGAACAAGGGGTCACACGACCAGTCAAGAGAAGCAAAACAAGCTCAGGGTGGATCACAACGTCACCACGCATTCTGAGCACAAGCAAAGGGCCACTGGGCCAGTTCACATGCAGAGATATATATGCAGCAATAACAGTACAGTGATGGCTACCTAGCAAGAGCCAGCATGCATATATATATATATATGTACAGATCACAGTACAAGCAGAGACTACAGCAAGTGTGGAAACGTAGGCACAAGGCCTAACAGAGTACAAAAGCGCTGATGATCACCAGACGGAAGTGCCTTGGTGAATATGTCAGCAGTGTTGGCCCGAGTGGCCACGTGGCGAAGACGAAGCTGGCCTCGCTGCTGCAACTCTCGAGCCAGGAAGTACCGCAGAGCAATGTGCTTCGTTCTGTGCTCCAGTCTGTGCTCCTCACACAAGGCAATGGCGGCCTTGTTGTCAACGTACAGCACTGGAGGAGAACGAGGCTGCTCTCCCAAGTCAGTCAGCAGGTAGGTGAGCCAGCGTAACTCCTGTGCAGCCATGGCGGTGGCGTAGATCTCAGCCTCACAACTGGAGCCGAGAACTGAAGTCGAGCGTGTAGAACGCCACGAAACTGAACCAGAGCCAAGGCTGAAGGTGTAACCCTGTGACGACCGCTGAGTAGCCAGGTCGTCAACCCAAGAAGCGTCTGAGTGCCCAGTGAGGACAACTGGGCTCGTCCCTCCAAGCACTAGCCCCATGCCCGATGTGCTGCACAAGTAACGCAGTACCCTCTTAGCAGCAGCCATGTGCTCAGGTCGGTGCCGACCAGGAGCCACGTAGCGAGCCAGGAGACCAAGAGGGTATGCGAGGTCAGGTCGAGTGCAAGTCATCAGGTACATGAGGCAGCCGACTAGCTCTGGGTAAGGACCACTCGGCTCTACGGACTCGTCCGAAGGTGGAGCTGAGAGCGTGTGACCTGTAGCCAGAGGAGTGGCCTGTGCTGAAGACCAGGTGAAGCCGAAGCGCTGAAGGACCTGCTGCACCATGTGTGACTGAGTCAAGGTGATGGTGCGACGTGCTCTGTCTCGGGTGATCTGCAAGCCAAGGTAGCTGCGCAGCTCACCCAAGTCTGTGCACGTGTGTCTCTTCTGCAGCTCCGACTTCACGTGGGCGAGAGCCTCAGTGTCAGCAGTGGCAAAAACCAAGTCGTCGACATACACGAGGATGTAGAACGGCGGCAGGGAAGTGTCGGTGCGCAGAAACAGCGACGGATCAGCAGTAGAAGGCGCAAACCCAAGAGCCGCAAGCGTAGTCCTCAGTGTGTCGTGCCACTCACGTGGCGCCTGGCGGAGACCGTAGACCGGCCGCCGGAGGCTCCACTGGGTGCCAGGAGGGAACGACCCAGTGAAGCCCGGGGGGCGGCGCAGCCAGATCTCCTCGTGCAGGCTGCCCTGCAAGAAAGCTGTGCTGAAGTCAAGAGAGTGAAGCTCGTAGTCACGGTGAGCAGCAACATGCAGCAGCACCCGAAGAGTGGTCATCTTCGGGGTGGGGGAGAAGGTCTGGAAGAAGTCAACTCCCTCTCGCTGACTGAAGCCTCGAGCCACGTAACGCGCCTTGAAGACAGGCGGAGAACCCGGCGGCCGCTTCACCCTGAAAATCCACATGCCACTGACGATGTTCGCCCCAGGTGGGGGAACCTCGTCAACGTAGGTGCCTGTGGACTTCCAGGAAGCCATCTCTGCGTCCATGGCTGCCTGCCACTGAGAGGAGTAGGGACCCTCTATCGCCTCTGCGTAAGAGCGCGGAGTCGGGATGTCTGGTGCATCCGGGTCTCCCTCAGGGGCAAGTAGCGAGGACACAAGATGAGGTAAAGCAGCAGCAAGGCACTGGAACTCCTCCTGCCTGTCCTCAAGGACGTCCGTGCTAAGAGCACACTCACCCCCGACGGACGGAGGACAGACAGACTCAGACTCAGTAACAAGACTGGCAGTGAAGTCTAGACGACAGGCAGCAGCAAAGTCAACAAGCTCAGCGACAAGAGCAGACGCAGCAGCAGACTCAAACGACGGGTCAGTGACAACTGTGGCTAGTAGACGCGTGACAGTAGGGTGCTGAGCACGAAACCGGTCAGACGCAGGGTCCGGAACGTCAGGCAAAGAGGACGCAGGAGGAGACGGCAGAGGAACAGGCTGCGGAACAGAGGAAGGACGACGGACTACGAGGTGCGCGCTGGGGACAGCCGGCGGACGCGAACGAGGAACACGAGGACCGGTACGACCAGGACGAGCAGGCGAGACAGGACGCGACGCAGGCTCACGACGCACAGCAGGACTACCAGTCAGCTCAGCGTAAGGAGAAGGAGCAGGCAGCGGCGAGCCAGTCTGTAACGGAAGACCAGTAGACGACGGAAGAGTAAGAACCTGACGAAGAACAGAGGCAGACGGCGGCAGAGACGACGGAGACGGCGGAGCGAAGAACAGTCGTGTCGGCGCAGCTGCACCAGAACCAGCAGCTCCAGCAGCTCCAGTGCCTCCAGCAGCTCCAGTACCTCCAGCAGCTCCAGTACCTCCAGCAGCTCCAGAAGCTCCAGGCCCAGAGCCGACACCTCGAGTCCCAGGGTCTCCAACCTCTGTGTCTCCAGCAGCAGCACCCCCAGAACCAGCACCTCCAGTCCCAGGGTCTCCAACCGCAGGGTCTCCAGCAGTAGCACCCCCAGAACCAGCACCTCCAGCTCCAGGGTCTCCAACCTCAGCGTCTCCAGCAGCAGCACCCCCAGAGCCAGCACCTCCAGTCCAAGGGTCTCCAGCCTCAGTGTCTCCAGCACGAGCCCCTCCAGAACCAGCAACTCCAGCACCTCCAGTAGACAAAGGACCAGCACGACTCCGAGCTCCAGCAGCGCGACGCTGACGGCGACCGTACCAGTCCTGCAGCTGCTGTGGGGTGAGAGGCACACGGGGACGAAGGCGGCCACTCCAAGGAGACCGCGCAACAGCAGACTCAGAACCCTCAGCGCCCGCACCCCCAACGGCTCCAGAACCTCCGGTGTCAGTACCCTCAGCACCAGTACCTCCAGCGACTCCAGAACCTCCAGCGCGAGCACCCTCAACAGCTCCAGGACCTCCAGCTCCAGCGCCACCAGGACTAGGCCCTCCAGCAGCTCCTGAACCTCCAGCGCCAGCACCCTCAGTAGCTCCAGAACCTCCAGCGTCAGTACCGCCAAGCTCAGCACCCCCAGACCCCTCACACGCAGGCTCAGCACCACCAGGCTCTACACCCTCAAGCTCCGCACCCTCAGGCTCAGTACCCCCAGACTCAGCACCCCCAGGCTCCGCACCCCCAGGCTCAGCACCCCGAGCAGGACCACTCGCAGGAGGACCTGAGTCACCAGTGACCTCAACCGGCGCAGTCAAGGGAGGAGGGTCTACCTGAGAAACACCTGAAGGAGCAGGACCGGGAGCGGGGAGGGGGTCTACCTGGGGAGCACCTGGAGCAAGGAAGAGCGGCGGGGGGGGGGGGGAGCGAGCGAGGCAGTGCGGTAGGGAAGAGAAGAGACGGTAAAAGGGAACCGACTCGTCGAACGTGACGTCCTGAGACGCAAAGACACGGCACGCGGTTGGGGTGGTAAAACTGCCAACCAGGCGCGTCAGGGACAAAGCCAAGGAAGACACAGGGAACAGCGCGGGCGGAGAGCTTGTCCGCGGTGGTATCGCGGACAAAGGCACGAGCACCCCAGACCCGGAAACGCGACGCATCACCAACCTTCCCCGTCCACAGCAGTGTGGGCGAGGTCTCCGGCAAGGAGACACGGGGCCAGAGGTTGAGCTGATGCGCGGCGTACCGGACCGCAAACGGCCACAGAAAATGGGGGGCAGCCGCATGGATCATGGAGGTACGAGCGACCTCCATGACTAAGCCAATGCGGCGCTCAGCAACCCCATTCTGCTGCGGAGAGGCCGGAAGCGTGAACGACTGGGTGATGCCGTGCTCCGCACAGTAGGCTGCCAAGAGGTCGGAGGAGAACTCACCACCTCTGTCAGAGTGCAGACGCAGGACAGGAAAGTCCGACCGGAACCGCTCGCGGAGCTGGAGACGAACAGCGCGGATCCAGGGGATCAAAACAGCAGGGACGTCCCCCTTGCTCTGCAAGGGGAAGACCGTGGTGTAACGCGTGTAGTCGTCGACGACCAGCAGGAAGTACCGCTCGCGGCCCTGTCCCTGGACGCGGGCTGGGCCCCACACGTCCAGATGGAGCGTCTGCAGTGGAGCCTCTGTGGGAGGAAACGAGGAGGAGTGAGGAGCGGCGCGCTGCCGCCCCTCGACGCAAGGAATGCAGGGCGGCGCAGGCGAGGGAGGGAGGGCAGGCAGGGACCTGGGAAGACCAGAGACCAGGGAGCGAGAGTGCATGCTACGCAGGCGAGGCAAGGAGGGGTGACCAAGGCGGTGGTGCCACAGGAGAGTGTCGTGCGACAAAGCGCGACACTCGCAGGGGGCCGCCAGCTGACCAGACGCAGACGCAAACGCAGACGCAGCTACCTGAGGGGACTCAGTGGTCAGTGTGTACAGACTCGAGCCAGGTGCACGGGTGAACGTGGCCAAGTGCCGGCCCGTCCTAGCACACGTACAGTGAGTCACTCGCTGACTCGCAGGAGTGAACTGGTCAACCCCCCCATCCTGGAGGTCAGCTCCACTCACCAAGTTCGTAGAGAACGAGGGAAGGTAAAGACCTGACAGCGAGCCGGACGGGACGGCCGGACACGGCAGAACCGTGGAATAGTGGGCAAGGACTGGACCCCCAGAGGGGTCGGCCAGGGAGACCGGGACTGGCCGACGGAGCGGCGTGAGTGCGGTGCAGTCGCGAAAGAAGGAGCGGGAAGCTCCTGAGTCAAGGGTGAAGGTGTGCGAGACCGCAGTGGGCGCAGTACCAGAGAGAGCAGACACAAGCCAGCACCTGATGCCACGGCTCACCAGTACCTAGAGCAGTAGACGTACTAGCACCGAGAGCAGCAGCCTCACCAGCACCTAGAGCAGGAGACGCACTAGCACCTAGGGCAGCAGCCTCACCAGGGTCAGGCGGTACGCACAGGCAACAGGCACGGTCAGCACTAGTAGACAATGCATACATGGCAGTGAGAATAGCATCATAGTCAAGCGCAAAGATATCTACCCTCTGTCTATGCAGCTCCAGCCACGTGGGGAGCTCAGCCTCGTCGCCAAACACTGTGCGCCAGTCGTCGCTCAGACGGGCGAAGCAGCGGGACTGTGTGTGACCAAGCGTCCCACAAGGCTGACCAGTCCTAGCACCTGTGCGAATGACGTACGGGCAGCGGACTGTACGCGTAGACCTGCTACACTGAGCGTACCACTCCTGGAGCTGCCGGGGCGTAAGTGTCTCACGTGGACGTCCCTGCAGCTGCAGCTGGCCACTGCCAGACGCTCCCAACTGACCAGCTCCAGGGCGACAGCTACGACGGCTACCGCGACAACCCCAGCTAGTATACCACTCACTAAGCTGCTGAGGCGTCAGAGGCTCGCGTGAATGTCGCTGGAGCTGCATCTGGCCACCTGCCAGTAGCAGTAGCGCAGGAAAGGCAGGCGCGGCAGGCAGGCAAGCAAGCAGGCAGGCAGGCAGGCAGGCAGGTAGGCAGGCAGCCAGGCAGGCAGGCAGGCAGGCAGACAGGCAGGCAGGTAGGCAGGCAGGTAGGCAGGCAGGCAGGCAGGCAAGTAGACACGCAGGCAGACAGGCAGGCAGGCAGGCAGGCCGGCAGGCAGGCAGGCAGCCAGGCCGGCAGGCAGGCAGGCAGACAGGCAGGCCGTCAGGCAGGCAGGCAGGCGCTCACCAAAGGCTGGGAGAGCAGGGCCGGCGCTCGAGTAGGCGCACGACAGCGGCGACGTCGGGGCCGCAAAACCGGCTGCAGAGCAGGGCCGAAACAGCTGGAGGGCGCTGCCGCGTCAGCGGCAGTAGCAGGGTGGGGCCGCGTCAGCGGCAGGTCGGGGTCGTGGCAGCTGCAGGGCGGGGCCGCATCAGCGGCAGGTCGGGGCCATGGCAGCTGCTGCGGGGGCCGCAATCAGCGGCCGAGGCAAAGGGCCGCGCGCGGCCGCGCTAGGGAGTAGCGGGCCGCGCGCGGCTCGGCGCGGGCTGTTGCGGGCCGCGCGCGGGCCGTGCGAGGCAGGAGCAGGCCTCGCGCGGCTCGGCACGAGCTGCTGCGGGCCGCGCGCGGGCTGCGCGAGGCCGTAGCAGGCCGCGCGCGGCTCGACGCGGGCTGCGCGGGCTCGGCGCGGGCTGCGCGCGGCAGCTGCGAGCTGCGCGCGGCTCGGTGCGGGCTGCGCGCGGTTGCAGCGGGCTGTGCGCGGCTCGGTGCAGGCTGCGCGCGGCTGCAGCGGGCTGCGCGCGGCTCGGTGCGGGCTGCGCGTGGCTGCAGCGGGCTGCGCGCGACTCGGGGCGGGCTGCGCGATCTCGGTGCGGGCAGCGCGCGGTAGTGGTTAGCAGCGTGTGTGCGGGCCCGACAGGCGTGTAGAGGCGGCGCGCGGGCCTTACGGGCCTCTAGGGGAAGCGCGCAGGCAAGGCAAGGCATACAAGGCAAGGCAAGGCTACGTGTGGGTGGTAGCGCGGTAACCGCCAGCGGTAGGTGGGCCCGAAAAAAAAACGGTCCTACGGACCTTAGTGCTCTGATACCATGTTAGAATCTAGCAGCAGGAATGAATGAACTAACAGGATGCAGGAGTACAAGTAGTAAACCCTAACTAGGTTGTACCCCATATGGGCTACCCCACTACAGCCTAGACAATATGCAGCACATATAGTTGACACCCCGCCCCATTCTCCCGCCTTCCATCACCCCGCCCCATTCTCCCGCTTTCCATCACCCCGCCCCTTTCTCCCGCTTTCCATCACCCCGCCCCTTTCTCCCGCTTTCCATCACCCTGCCCCATTCTCCCGCTTTCCATCACCCCGCCCCATTCTCCCGCTTTCCATCACCCGCCCCATTCTCCCGCTTTCCATCACCCGCCCCATTCTCCTCTTTCCATCACCCTCCCCTCTCCCATTCATCACCCCGCCCCTTCTCACGCTTTCCATCACCCCGCCCCATTCTCCCGCTTTCCATCACCCCGCCCTATTCTCCCGCTTTCCATCACCCCGCACCATTCTCCCGCTTTCCATCACCCCGCCTCATTCTGTCGCTATCCATCACCCCGCCCCATTCTCCCGCTTTCTATCACCCCGCCCCATTCTCCCGCTTTCCATCACCCCGCCCCCTTCTCCCGCTTTCCATCACCCCGCCCCATTCTCCCGCTTTCCATCACCCCGCCCCATACTCCCGCTTTCCATCACCCCGCCCCATTCTCCCTCTTTCCATCACCCCGCCCATTTCCCTCTTTCCACCACCCGCCCCATCCTCCCGCTTTCCACCCACCCCGCCCCCTTCTCCGCTTTCCACCTCCCCGCCCCATTCTCCCGCTTTCCATCACCCCGCCCCATTCTCCGCTTTCCATCACCCCGCCCCATTCTCCTGCTTTCCATCACCCCGCCCCATTCTCCTTCTTTCCATCACCCCGCCCCATTCTCCCTCTTTCCATCACCCGCCCCATTCTCCTGCTTTCCATCACCCCGCCCCATTCTCCCGCTTTCCATCACCCCGCCCCTTTCTCCCGCTTTCCATCACCCCGCCCCCTTCTCCCGCTTTCCATCACCTCGCCCCATTCTCCCGCTTTCCATCACCCCGCCCCATTCTCCGCTTTCCATCACCCCGCCCCATTCTCCCTCTTTCCATCACCCCGCCCCATTCTCCCTCTTTCCATCACCCGCCCCCATTCTCCCGCTTCCATCACCCCGCCCCATTCTCCCGCTTTCCATCAACCCGCCCATTTCCCCGCTTTCCATCACCCTGCCCCATTCTCCCGCTTTCCATCACCCGCCCCATTCTCCCGCTTTCCATCACCCCGCCCCATTCTCCCTCTTTCCATCACCCCGCCCCATTCTCCCGCTTTCCATCACCCCGCCCCATTCTCCCGCTTTCCATCACCCCGCCCCATTCTCCCGCTTTCCATCACCTCGCCCCATTCTCCCGCTTTCCATCACCCCGCCCCATTCTCCCGCTTTCCATCACCCCGCCCCATTCTCCCGCTCTCCATCACCCCGCCCCATTCTCCCGCTTTCCATCACCTTGCCCCATTCTCCCGCTTTCCATCACCCTGCCCCATTCTCCCGCTTTCCATCACCTCGCCCCATTCTCCCGCTTTCCATCACCCCGCCCAATTCTCCCTCTTTCCATCACCCCGCCCCATTCTCCCGCTTTCCACCCTGCCCCATTCTCCCTCTTTCCATCACCCGCCCAATTCTCCCGCTTTCCATCACCCCGCCCCATTCTCCCGCTCTCCATCACCCCGCCCCATTCTCCCGCTTTCCATCACCCCGCCCCATTCTCCCGCTTTCCATCACCCCGCCCCATTCTCCCGCTTTCCATCACCCCGCCCCATTCTCCCGCTTTCCATCACCCCGCCCCATTCTCCGCTTACCATCACCCCGCCCCATTCTCCGCTTTCCATCCCCGCCCCATTCTCCCGCTTTCCATCACCCCGCCCAATTCTCCCGCTTTCCATCACCCCGCCCCATTCTCCCTCCTTCCATCACCCCGCCCCATTCTCCCGCTTTCCATCACCCCGCCCCATTCTCCCGCTTTCCATCAACCCGCCCCAATCTCCGCTTTCCATCACCCCGCTTCATTCTCCCGCTTTCCATCACCCCGCCCCATTCTCCCTCTTTCTATCACCCCGCCCCATTCTCCCTCTTTCCATCACCCCGCCCCATTCTCCCGCTTTCCATCACCCCGCCCCATTCTCCCTCCTTCCATCACCCCGCCCCATTCTCCGCCGTTCCATCACCCCGCCATTCTCCCGCTTTCCATCAC